CTCACGATTTTTATATATTTATACATCACGTATCTAAATTTTCAGATTTTGTAAGGCTTTGATCTCATAAATTTATACATGAAAATGAGCTTTGGACACAAGTAATACTTTAAATTATAACAATATTTTTTCTAATTATAATGATGATGATTAATAGTTGTATTTTTCAAAAATACGTCAACAGTAATATCTTGAATTATATAGTTTTCACTAACTCTATTTCATAAAAATTATTGTCATACAGTTGTTGAAAAAATTATTTCATACGGACACCACATGCAGAGATGTATGTGGTGTCCGATCTGCACCGTTGATCACCGCAAAGATGTATTTCAGTGGGCCCCACTTTTAACATTTAAAAAAAAAAAATTGATTGCGGTGATCGACGGTGGAGATCGGACACCGCAGACATCTCTGCATGCGGTGTTCGTATGGAATAATTTCTCCAATTGTTGATTAAAAAATGTTATGAATAAGAATAATTATTTTCCCATATTTATACAAATAATATGAATAAATATTTTGTCGCTAGACTAAAAATATTATTTTCTCTAACAAATCTAATGAAAAAAAGGTGAGCAAAAATTTTTCTTACTTGCACCTATGTGACCATAGCTTAAAATTTTTTATAGCAAATACATGAAGATTATTATTAAGATATATTAAATACTATTCTACTAGTCTAATCCTATAATAAGAAAATAAAATATGTTGGTATATAAATTTTAAAAATGTTGGTCCCTTAATAAGCATTTGAGTTTAACCAACGTTGATCTTACTTTAATCATTCATAATCTTTGGTAAGTGTTATTAGACTAATTTATGGATGGGACAAGTGGCTTATTAATTTGTGGCTCCTATTTGTCTCTTTGACAACCACCAAGGATTTTGGGATCCTTGGGAACATTTTTTAGTATCTTGAACTAAATTTAGACACTTTTAAAGCACAATTTTCTATGAATTTTCAATTATATTTTTGGATGATAGAAGTTTCGACTTCAGAAGATAAGAAGGCAATTGATATGTCACAAAAAAAGACATGATCAAACACGAATTTGGATGTATAACTTTTAGAGCTGAGTTTAGAACTATCAAAAATCTAACTTTAACAAATTATAATCAAACTTCTGCATACTCTTAATGCAACCTTTTCCTAAAGTTTAAACACTTCAATATCATAGAAATATTCATTAGAAAAAAACCATAAGTGTCACTTCAATCACCTTCAAATGTTGGCTTAGAGACCTTAGACAATGCAAGACTTCGAGTATTTAGGGTTTGGGACTGAGAATACAACGCATGAAAAGAATAAGAACATTAAATGCTAAATTCTTTTTGTAGTCTTTTTATGGTTATGAAGGAACTAGATTTATACTTTAAAATCAAGATGAATATTTTTTTTTTATTGAATCACATGCTACTCTTAATGTTAGTTTGATGTAGTGTGAGACATTAATGTAATATAATGTTTAAGCTATTTAAAATTATTGATTTAAAGTAGCCAATAATTGAGTGCACAATTCTTCAAAAATATATGTAACCAACTTTTTTTTGCATTTTTCACTATATACTCATATCATGAAATTACAATTATTTAGTATATTAGAGAGAAAAACCAATACCATAATGTTTCATGCATGTTAAATGACATATATTTTTTTATTTTTTAATTGAGTTGATTTGTCTCTTTATTTACGTAGGAAATGCATGAAAGAAAACTTTGAAATTTGTTGAAATGTCTGCAATACACTTTAGCGTGGGAATTTTTTTTTTCTCCCCAGCGAAGATGAATCGCGTCCGTTTACCGGATGCAGAGCTACGTCTGGACTCCTGACGCAATAATTTTTCTAAATGTTTAGGATTTACTTGAGATAACTTTCTCAATATTCTACATTTTCTTATTGTTTCTCAAAATTTTTTATGTTTGTTATGATCATGTTATTAAAATGCTAACTTTTTATAGTCAAACATATTAAAATGAATTAGTTATAAGATATGGTCTGTTTTTTTTTTAAATGAATTTATAATGTCCACAATAATTTAAGATAAATACTTTTATTTCCTCACAATAGCGACCCAAGGACCCCAAGGCAGCTAATTAATGATCCATTTGGGGGTGGTTATAGTTTTTTATGAAGGTGACATTGTTGTGGAGAAGATTAACCTTTTTGAAAGTCATTATGATTCACCTTTTTGAAAGTTATTATGAGTAGTAAAAATATATATATATATATATATATATATATAATATATATATTAGAAAGTCAGACATTATTTTTCTTATGCTGCCATATTTTAATGAAAATTTATAAACTACACAATTCTTATGTGCTTACATGTCTAATCTTCAAAATTTTATTTTTTATATTTGTAGCATTTTATCAATGCCTTAATTTTTTTTAAAAAGATTTTGTAGCAATAGTGATTTTATATTGATTGTTATGAATGTAAAAAACAAAATTTAGGTGTTTTGATATGTAAATATGTGTGAAATGAGTATGTTTAAAAATAAAAAATAATGCAATGCCCAAGCCAAGAGAGACCAAAAATGATCTTGTGAAGGATTCGAGTTATATGAATCTTGAAGAATTTTGAGGAAGAGACATATTCAAATTAAAGATCAATTGGGCTTCGGTTTTGACAAATTTATACTCAAAATGGGTGTCTCGGCTAGACGAGCACAATGACAGTGAAAGTGATCTAATTGGAGTTCAAATCAATGTTGATCAAGCACTTAAAGACTTTAGTGCATCAATTGGAATACGAAACAATCTTAAAATTTGACATGTTTTAAGTTAAATCAAGCGTCACAAAGAGTGGAATCCAACGAGGTTAAAATCGCTCAATTTTTGTATCATCAAAACATATTGAAAAAAAAAATTGTGATAAAGGAAATCAATGTGGACGGTCTGATGGTGTGTTTTGGAAATTTGTCAGATTTACCAAATTGTCATTCTAAAAAAGTATAAATAAGTTTCATTCTTCACGTAGGCTTTGTTTGAATAGGTGTTTTAGCTCTGTTCCATTCTACATAAAGCACAAAAACGTAAATGAGTTGTTGGGCTATTCAATTTTTTGGAATGTTTTTCCCCACTCAATTGTACTTCAACGACATTTCTTTTCGTTTTGAATCACGAAAAGAAATAGTGTGGAATGCGGCTTTTAAAAGAACTCTTTTCAATGATAAAGTGTTGTCAGGGGTCAGGCTTTGAAGAGGGGAAGGGGGCAGACAAAAAAATAGTAAACTAAGTACTAAAGCTTAACTCTTGAAGCCATGACGACTTTCGTTGACCACCAAAGTTTGTCGCTAGCCACTTAAGGTCATCACGACAACTACTAGTAATTTACTACTCCAACTACAATTATAACAGCCATCTATAGCTTTTATAGCGAATTGCTACTATTGTAGCCACCAACAATTTTTTTGTAAGCTTATATTCCCTAATACAAGAGAAGAATGAACCTTGTACTTTCAATTTTCTAGTGGATTTTGACTGGGAGAGGATCCATAAATTTTTTTCTTTATAAGATTTGTCATGTAAGAAATTCATGGTTTTTTTATATGTTTGTTTGTTGGATATTCACGTGGCACTAAGATGTTAAATTATTACTCTAACACCGTGAATTTTCTAGCACTCACCAAGGTTGATTAATTTAAATAGTTCAAGCTTAAGCTCGAGCTTACTTTTATGAGTTCAAACCGGCTCATGTTTCTTATTAAAAAAAGAAAATAATATCAATTCAAGTTAGTATCATAATAAAGTATCACATATAATGAATAATTAAAACTTAATTAATAAGCAATTATTAGATATAAAATATAATCTTTTTAAAATATTATTAGATGAAATTATAAATTTTATTATATTTTGAGTATATTTATATTAATTATTTTTAAAATATATTTGCTCTTTAGTATAATTCCAAAGACACTCATGAAATATGGAGTGGGCCCACATATGGCTTAGGCCGCTTCACTCACTTTGCACCCCATCTTAGGTCAAATCCTGAATCCTTAGACGGTGTTTGGTAGCACCCCTTTAATAGGATTTAACCATGGATTTAACTTCAATCTTGTCAAACACAAAAAAAAAAAAGTGAGAATGAAATCCAGATTTCTGACACATCCCATTTTGTCTTCCTGACAGCTGTTCTGTCTTCTCAACACTCTTCCGTCTTCAAATCTAAATTTCCAAAATCCCACGAAGAAGCATATTTAAAGCTTGTTTGGGGCAGCTGTAGTTGTTTGAAGAAGAAACTCCGAAGCTCTTGAAGAAGAAATTGTACTTCAAAGAGCTATAGTAGTCATTACAAAATAATTTCTCTCGCAAAAGTCATACAACAAATTTCTAGCGACCACCATAGGTAGCCAAGTATGGTGAAAAAATGTAGCTTCCAACTACAACTTTTTTAGTAACGTAAATAAATATAATTTTGTCCAAAAAAAAAAAAACTAATATGTGACCCCAAAACACCCTTAATGTATTTGGCTTGATGTTGCTCCTAAAGCCTCGACCCTCAAGAAATATTTTCAGTCCAGACTCCTGACGTAGCTCTACGTGCGGACTCCAATAATATGCCGCTATGTTATTTTTGGGTTAGTTCGGGGTTATTTTAGGGTGATTGAAGATAAACCTATATATTCAACTTCAATAACCTTGAAAAAACCTTCGCATTTTCAGTTCAACAAACTTGAAATAATATCATGGAGGTTATTTCGGCGTTATTTCTGAATTATCGAAGTATAATATATATGATTTTCTTCTTATAACTCTGAAAAAACCCAGAAATAACATCGAAATAATCTTCATAGTTTTATTTCAGGGAGTTTATTTTGGGGTTAATAAAGTAGAACCGTAGTTATGAGGTTATTTCAAGATCATTGTTGAGTACGCAGTTTCACTTTAATATTTTTTTGACGAGCCTGATAAAACACACGTGAAAATATATTAGTGGGAGCCCACATGATAAATTCTATTAAAGTAAATGGGATCCTGCAACACAAACTCTTGGCTGGCGTCGAAGAGATTGGGCCAGTCGCCGGCGTTATGGCGGAGGAAGGGAAAGTGGTCCGTTACTTTTCTCGGGATTTCGAATGGGAGGAGCTCCGAGATGAGGTCGAGCGGAACCCTAAGTTTGGCTACCATCTCTTCCCTTTCTCTCTTTCTCTTTCCTCCTCATCTCAAGTGGCCGCTGACGCCGAAGCCTGGAGAAGCTTCCACCGCCGCCATTCCACTGGGTTGTTTTTTAAGGTAACGCACTGCAGTACAGTCTATCTCATGTTTTGCTGCATTTAGTTACATTAGGTTTTTAGGCGGTGGATCGATTGGCCTTCGTTCCTAAGTCCGGCTTTCGTATGCTCCTAATAAATCTATGAAATGTTATCAAAAGATCTCATGTGTGCTTGTTTTTGGAAACGTTGAAGTTAGAAAAGGAATGTGTTCATACAAGATAAACAAAAGGGCTGTAGAGAGAAAGTATAATTTCAAACTCATAGCAAGGATAACAAATCTCAAACAAAGCCACAGAAGTTAGAAACCCAAAAACCAATGCCGGGAACTCGAAGGCTACTACGCAGCTAATGATTTTCCATCTATGTAGGGGAGCAGAGGAACAATTTGGCTGGATGCCAACATTGTTGCTTAACCATATGATTGAAAAATATCTAATAAACCATATCTATGAAACTAAAAATGTCTATTAACGTCTTAAATCTTGAAAACAAGAACCAAAAGTTGCTCTAATTTCTCCTAAGAAATAAAAGAAAAAACTTGCCACAAGTAGCGTAAAAAGATAACAAAATCGAACTAGAGTGCTGCTCGACCATCCAAAAGTGTGCATTGAAACAAGAAAATATGACATAAAAACCAATTGCAATTAAATTGCCATCAAGCACCAAAAGGAGAAGGCTCAAATGGTCAATGGAGCAAACACCATCATGCTAAGATCAAAAGTAAGAAGAGTAGGCTTGGAACTAAACGTGAATAAAACTGCAATGTAGGTGGATGGAAGATGAAAACAACTATAGAGAAATCTAATATTTACACATTTCACAAAAATCAGTTGGCCATTTGCCATCCATATAACTTTTTTACTAGATTTTGAGTAATTTTAAATTTAATTCTGGGTGATTTTTTCTTGGGTTTACTTATAGCTGATCGATGAATATGATTATTTTGTCCAACCAAATAGTGTATATCAGTATGCAATAGGCACATAAAGCTTCTTGATAATATAGTGGACATGGAAACAATAACTAAAATTAATAATCTGTCTTTAAGTATGCCTTTAGGATGAAAATTGCCCTGTAGGAAGGGAATTTTTAAGGAACCATATAGAATAAGGGGAACCAAAAGAGTGAGAATGAGTTTCATTGCTTGGTGGCATTCTCATCACTAATATTTGTTTAACCAAGGTTCAAATCAGCCTTAGTACTCGCCAGAGGAAGACAACCTCAGCCAAAAAATGTAGATAATGAATAGGCCTCCTAGTAGGGGAATAGAGGAATAGTGTTGCTTAATGCTAACATAATCACTTAACCATAGGAGTGCAAAATGTGGAGTAAACAGCTCTGGAGTAATCCGCTCAACCTAAGTAGTACAGGAAAGTATTTAAAGAAAGCTGTAACAACATCCAAGCAATGGAAAAACTCAGTGTAACTATAAAAATTAGAAACCGCCCAAATTCTCCTAGCTCTACAAGAAAAAAGCAAGCTGCACAAAAAGTTAACAAAATGAAACTAGAGTGAAATGACACTATGGCATAAAAACCAATCACATTTAGATTGCCACCAAGCAGCATACGGAAAAAGGTCAATGGACAAACACCACCCGGCTTAGACCAAAAGTAAGAAGAGTCTGGCTAAGACCAAAAGTAAGAAGAGGAGCCTGAAACTACACATGAATAAAACTGAAAAGGAGGAAGGAAGACGAAACTAACTATATGAAGAATCCAAAATTAAACATTTCATAAACATTGGTGGGCGATTTTATTTACATTTTACCTTTTTATGACTTTGGATAATTTGAAATTTAATTATAGAGGATATATTCTTAGGTGTAGTAATAGTGGATTTGTGAATATGACCATTCTCTCCAACCAAATAACTTAAATCTGCTCATAATAGGTCGGTAAAAGTTCTTGATAATATAGTAGATATGAAAAGAATAACTAAAATAAATTTTGCTTTAAGGATGCCCTTAGGAGGAAGATTGCCTATAAGTAAGAGATATTTGAGGAGCGACATAAAAAGGGTGACCATAAAAGAGGTGAGAATGTGTTATATTGATTACAAAACGAAGAATAAACGTGCTATTAATGAAAATTCTCATAGTAAAAAAATTATCTACAACCTTAAAATAGTTTATTAGCGTCTAAAAAAAATGTCAGGGGAAGCCCTATGTTCTAAATAAATATGGTTCAATGAAGATTTTAAATGTTAAAATAAACTGCATTTCAAGTAAAAGAGGTATATTTCCCATTCTAGAGAAGTTGATCCATATTAGAATCAAGTAAAAAAGCTTGAAAATACAGAAGCAAATACACTTATCGATTGATAATGGCCTTAGGAGATCAAATTCCATTTAGAATAAGAAGCACTCATTTTAAGCATTCATTGGGTGATTAAGCATGGTGATATTATACAAATGTCCTTGTTATTGAAGAAGTTATTGAATAAGAGAGAAAAAAACTAGTTTAATTATTGGCAAGAAACTTGGTAATCACTTTATAAAAGGCCTTGCAAAGAAAGATGTTTGTAGTCAGAACCATAGTTGATATGAAGCTGCTTGGGAGCCATTGTATTAGTCGAGTTTTTAAATCAATTCGGAAGCTTATAGGTTGGAAAGTGTCTCACTATTCGGTAAATTGAGGGCCAATAATATATTATGAGAGTATGAAATTTTTTGAAATGTAGCTATCAGGACCTAGAGATTCATCCTTTTCAATGTTAAACAAACCATCTTCGATAATTGGAACATGGGGTAACAATTAGATAGTGGTATGGAGTAGATTAAGTAGATTCAATTGGGTAAGGAGAACTATGTAGATGTAGCAAAGAACAAGATGAAAGCTGATTGTATAACATACAGAAGTGGTGAATGGATTCAAGAAAAATGCTATGAAAGAAGAAAGAATGCCCAAGTGACTATGAATCTATACTGAAGTTTTGGCTGCTTCTATTGGTAAGTTCTAGTACAGGGAAGCCAAATCAGCTTCACTCTTGGACAACCAAACAATTTTAGCATGTTGAGATATCCACTGCTTTTACATCTGAAGGCATGAATCAATTTTTCTTGGATCAAATTAGCTTCGCAAGTGGAAAGAGTCCAAGGGATTGACTTTTAGTAAGCATAATGCTCTCTATTGTTCTTTCGTATGAAAAATGATAGTCACAAAGAAGTTTTGCTTTTTTTCAAAGTTTTGTTTTTAGATCAAGCTTAAAATAGCCTTCAACTTTATGAACAAAGTAAAAATAGGGTCGCCACCTCAAGAATTTATGATAACATCCTAAACATTGTTGCAAAAATTCAAAAGTTTTGTAAATGAATCTATGTTTGAATGATGAAATGAAGCCATGCTCTTCTTTTTTCAGCATTCTCTTTTAAGAAGTCATTTGAAAATAGTGAAACTAGAATTTGAAAGGAGGGAGGTGATGGGGAAAAGTGGAAATGGAATAGAGGTACAAGAGTGTGCTTGATTCCATGCACTCCTTTTCACATGATGGTCCAGGGTGAACTCATTGTAAGAAAATGAAATTAGCTATGTTAGGAATGATGCATGGTAATCAATTATGTTAGTTGTTTCTATTATTTCATTGATATTTTTAATAGCTTTAATAAATTAATCTAGTTCATATTACATTTTGTCAGTCAGTTGTCCAATTTCTGTTCGAGTTGTGATTTAAATTTTCTTTCACATTTTATTTTAGCAGTAAAATTTGCATTATAAGAATTGTATGTATATTTTCAATGAAATATTTTAGGCCTTACAATATAGTTAAAATATGAATATTTTTTAATTGTCAGGAAAGACGTTACCTTTTAAAGGAATTTCCTGAACTTACTGCTTTAAATGATTCCATCCATGTTTTAGAAGTGGGTTGCGGTAATGGGAGCACATCTCTCCCAATATTAAGGTATTATTTTAGCATTATTCATCTTTTTTCTTTCCAAAATTAACCTATGTTTCCCTTGATTAACCAATATTTTGCTGTGGAATTTCACCTACTTGAATTCATCAAGGACTTGATAAGGGGATAAATGAATTTAAAAATACTACTGTAGTACCCACCTTATCTGTTTTTCTTTGAACAACAACCTAAAGGAACTACAATACAGGTGGATTTGCATACAAGTCATGAGGATTTACAAAATGAATGTGATTTTCCTCTCTTTTTTTTTGGTGTGCTTTAATCTTATGTTGGCTTAGAAGATGCCTGTTGATTGTGTGCAATTTAAAAGTTAGATAGAATAGATGCATTCTAGAGTTTTTCATGAGAGCAAATCTTTATAATTGATTACAATTCAGGCATACCACACACGAAAATCACGATTAAAGAGTTTTACTTATGTTCACAAAATTATCATAAGCGGTTGTTAAACATTGAAAAGGGGTACGCTAGATCCTACTAAAAAAAAATTAAGTAATATATGAATGATAGGTATTGAGTCAAGGCTAGAGAGCTTTTAAAGCTCAAGGAATAGGCAACCGCAATATAAGGCAACAGAGGTCAACCGACTCTAAAGCTTAGGGTAGATTATTCGAATATAGATGTTATCATAATGGTTCACGTCTTCATGATGGTTTTGATATGGTGGATAAATAGTAAGGTACCAGTAAGTTTTAATACAAAAAATATGTGGTCATATAACCATAATCAGAGGCCTTATGACATGTATATGAAAACATATTCCTAATGAAACCTTAGAAATTTTTATATAAAATATAGCTTAGACATGAAGGCTTTGTTGACATTCATTTTTGATGTCACATGTGCCAGATACCCTTTTGAGTGGTAAGAGATCTTATTATGTTCATACGAAGCCTACTGCAGGTCAAGGAGTTCATAAAACCTTCAGGGGATGATACTGGCACAAAGTTAGGGTTACCTCACTGCGGACGTGCCCGGAAGTGATCACCGTTGGTAGATGTTAATTTCGGGTATGAGATATGTTGGACATCCATTTAACGTTTAAGAGATTATATTTTAATCATGGATGACCTCCTCAAGCTCAAGGATTCCTTAAAACCCTTCTATGACATTTCAACTCAAAACCAGGCTTGAACTGACGTTGCCATGCCCCAAAGTGGCGTAGCCACGCCACCCAAGGCATGCTTGGGCTTGACCACGCCCAAAACTGGCGTGACCACAACACCAGACAACCAAAAATAGTTGTTTTTGGTGTTTGGACCCTTTTGATCGGTTCAACCCACATGGGGGTGGGATTTGATCATGGAAAGACTTATGGTCCCTTAAATTAAGGCATGGGCATCCATAACTAAAGTTTAAACTTTATTTTACCTAGTTCATGGCACAACAATGGAAAATAGGCCAAGGACCGTGGGGGAAAAGGGAGAGCCCTTTCCTATTTTGGAAAAAACCTTTTTCCTTGAACCCAAGAAGGCTGAAAATTGGCTAAGGAGGAGGATCATTTCAGATTTTTGGAGGAAAGAGAGCTCTAAGAATGAGAGTTTTTTCTTGCAATCACTCTTCTTTTTTCATCTTTTTTGATCTTCTTGCTTCTTTGGCTTCTTCCACATCTTCCTCATCTTCTTCTACATTTATTCCACTATTCTCTTGAGTTGAGTGTGGAAGATTTTGAAGGGGAGCTCCTTAAGAAAGGAGAGTTTCATCATCTCTTTGGGGGAGGACAACTCCATCTTTACCTTGGCAAAGAGGAGCTCAGAGCATGCCGGGAGAACGCTTCTTCAACCGTCACGAAGGTATAACTTCTTTAAAACCCAATTTACTTCTTTCTAGCAAGCCTCCTTAGGTTCTGTGTAAGAGATATTAAGTTTTGATTTTGTTTTAGTGAAAAACCCCTCTACAATTTCCTTAAGATTTCCTTAAGCTTTAGTTCGTAGGGATTACGATAGTCCCGTTATTTTTTGTTGGCTTTACTCTTGATGAAGGGGTTGAAGCCACTTTTTGGACATAGAGAATGAGGGATTTCTTTGGCCCCTCATGCCCTAGCTCGCGAAGGGCATGTCCATGAGAAACCTTCACTTCATGAAGGTTTTTCTCTAATGTAAAAGACTTTTACATTTTTGCCAAACAATTAGAGGTAGGCATTTCGTTACATTACGTAATGAACGATAGCTTGACTGATTGGCCGTCCCGGCCTAATCGTTTGATCAACCATTTTCGGCCGGTTTGACAAATCGGTTGTCCCGGCTCGATCGTTTGATCAATCACTTTCGGTCAGCTCGACCAATTGACCGACCCCCGACCCCCGACCCCCGACCCAATCTTTCGATCAACCATTTTCTATTGGCGACACCTAGTCCTATCGGTTGACTGAAAGGTCTCATTTGATTGATGTATTTTAGCACATCATTTGCTTGTGACTTTGGTTGGCTTTCTTAGTCGGTTGGCTCAATCAGTAGTCTGATTTCATTAAGTTTGATTGGTCGTCTCCCGTTGGATGGCCCCATCGACTGCCCGATTTCGACCGGTTTGATTGGCCACCTATTATTGGTTGATCGATTCGAGTCACTTTGCATTTCACACCTGCTTGTTTGCATTTCACACTTGCATGTTTGCATTCGTAATTGCATGGCTTTGCATGTCCTTTCACATGACATCATGTACGCTCGTGTATTTCATGTTTGGGTTCCTCACACGAGTCAATGTCTTTACATGCTTATGTTGACTCATTCAGACACTTTATGAGGGGACGACTCACCAATCAAGCCTACCCAATTTGTAATTCTCCTTCCCGAGAATTATGGCACTTCATTTCTTGTGGCACTTTCTAGGTGTGTCATATGCATGCCATGTTATGTCATTCAACACGGGTCACGTTTCATAGCCCCTGAACCCACCGAGTGCATGATGTATGTCCATCCGGTTGTATGACTCTCACATAGCGCAGGTCACGCTTCATAGCTCCTGAACCCATTTGGTGCACGAGTCATACTATCCGACATCCTTGATACCACCTTAGTTTGTCATGTGTATGTCATTTCACTTGCGCTTGTCATGCACTATGTGTGCCTATTTCATTTGCATGTGTTTGTCTGGCTGTATTTGAGGCGAGGTGTAATTCCCTCGAGGGTATCCTGATCCCCATACAACCAGTCTTGATATCACTTGTATATGTGTGTGGTTTGTCCCACACTTGCATCTGTATGTCTGACACTTTCGTCGCTAGCATGTGTCACCACACGTGCGTGACGAATTCTTGCTCATTTTGATGATAGTTTAGGCTATCATATGGACCTGATGTGACTGCTCACACCTTGATAGAGTAGTCATCACTAGAGATCGTTCTTTGATAGAGCGATCACAATACACTTGATCACTTTGCATGTTTGCATGTGCATTACCCAATTGCCTTGATGACAAATCATACTCATTAGTTGAGTGATCCATTGTTAGTCGCAATGCTTTGATGAGCATTGCTTGCGAGGACATCTCAGCGAGCAATGCGAATTATTGCATCGCGATCAACACTCGTATATTTGTGCTAAGATTCTATGATGCTAATAGTTTTCACTTAGGCATTTCATTCATTAGGACCTATTTTAAAAGTATAAAAATTTATATTGTTATTACTTATATGCATATGTTGACCTCATTTTTAGTGAGGTCTAGTTTTCTTTTTAGGGTTTGGGTCTAGCCTTAGGATTCTCTCTTTGACTATCTTAGAGTCTTAGTAACGAGACCAACCTCATTTTAGAAGCTCAAACTATTTCTTTACCCTTTTGGAGTTCCACATGTGTGGTCTTGGCCTCTAGCGCTTAGGAGTTGAAACCAACATGAAGAAACTCATAGGAGTTTATGTAAGACTATTAAACTTTAGGATTGCCTTATGCACAATTTGCACATTCACGCACACAAATTTCGCAGTTTGGACAACCAACACGTTAAATATTGAAATTCACGTCACCTAAGTCTTTATACGTTGCATAATTAATCAAAACCAAAATTAATTTCCAAAACGATCGATCACGGACTCGAAATTTCGACGAAATTGAATTTGACGCGTTTTCAACCTGATCGTTGGCGACGTTGCTCGAACGACCTTAGATGACAAAACAAACCGCACCAGCGCGTCCGGAGCGTCGCAATTACCTCAGAAGGACACCTACTTGGTTGTAGTTTCGTGCACGAGAAAACAACACACAAATCGAGGGATTTTCAATATTAATTAAATAAAAAAAGGATTTTTTTTTCACTTAAATCTCCAAATCTCCAAGCCAAACTCTCACCCGACTCCTAGACCGTTCGTTCCCCTCCTCTTCTTTGGTCGAGCCCGAACTCCCCTCCCTTCTCGATTCTTCCCCGATCCGATGCCCTAGCAGAATCAAACGCCTCCTTCCTCGTGAAGTATCGGCTCGAGGCCCCCTCTCCTCGTACGCTTGCCTCTGCCTAAAGCTTCTCCCTGTCGCTACGCACCCTGTGCCACCTACTCCCACGCCTCTGTGACTTCGCCGCTACTTGCCGTTGCAGCCTTGTCGCCACTCCCGCCCATCGCCTTTAAGCTTCACTTCAGCTTAGGTAGGTATATGTAACATCTTCTCTCCCTCTTTACCTATAAAAGCCCCATTTGGGGAAGATTTTTTGGTTGGCCGAAATTCTGGAGAGGGTGGAGGTGCTGCCAAAATTTCATCTAATCTCTTTGGTTGGATTTTTACTGCTCTTTTCATCCTGTGTGTGTGCTTGAAGTCTTTTGGAATTTTGTAGGTAAAACTTGAACAAGGTAGTCTCTCCCATTTTCTTTTCTCCTCTATCTCAGGTCCCCTCCAATGCTATTTTTGTTTTGAGTTCATAAAGTTGTTGGCTAAAAAAAAAAAAGAAGTGGAATATTTCTGGTTGTGCTTGAATTAGGCTTTGTTTCTTTTTTTGCATATGTTGCTCTATGAATTCTTGGACACCATCTTTGTTATATTTGGTATATCTACTTGCATATC